CACACTTACTGTTTGGGGAACATTTTGCTTTGCTTGTTTTTTTATTTTCTATGTAAGGAAATCCTTCCGGTTGCCTCGAACCTACGCTTCTTCGCCATTTCAAATGTCTTCACCTTTTTGTCTACCAACTGGGATCTTTGCTTTTTCTACACCGAGGATTATAGGATATCTTGTTAAGTGAGTATTTATCGGTGGAGTAAATCCGTTCTACATTCGTCCACTCAACGTTCACTGGACGACATCTTTCCTCACCCGAACGTACAGTGCTTATATCACCTACTGATTTGCCATTTAGAGTTGGGATCGGTGACAAACCTACAGTTCGTGGCTGTCATTTCGCGCGCTCCTTATCTACATAGGGAAGTTGAAAGACTGGACATTGTTTTGCGTGAGTCACTCCAGAGTGTCTGTCTTTGTCACCGAATGGCTCAATGAGACATCAACGTTTTCTGCTGACACAGCATCTGGAGCACCTTTTTATGCCAATGTGCAATCAGTTCACCTTTCCCGTGGTACGGCGGTTCAGGCGTCTGACTTTCTTCCTACGCACTTCGGGTTCCGATCCCTACTTCTACTTAGGCTTGAGGACCGTAGCAGTGTCTCATTCTACGTACTGTCACCTTTGGTTACGTAGCAATGAAACGACAACCCGAAGCACTGGGGTATTCCTGATGCCTTTTACTTATATCCAACTTGGCCTGACAGAGCGAACTGCACTTTGCTTCGTCCGGCTAGTGTGGATCTGGTCTTCGTCTTCTGTGTGGCTAATGTAAATGCACATATTTATACACCGGGTTAAACGTAATAAAAAGAGTTCCGTCGCAAGTGGCCTTATAAAGCTTAACTTCAAAGTATTTTTTGATAGCACACGTTTTCTCGTCTCCTTTGACCTATTGCTGATATTCATTGTGTGATCTACCTGTGACATGCGGTTCCAAGTTATACCATAGCTAAAGTCAGGTTAACTCGAACTAATTCGGTACTTGCAGGACATTCGAACCTTTTTGAGGCATTTGTGTCCAATGTATATTCCATCGGCGGTGCTGTCGGACTCAGTAAAGCTCAGCCGCAAGCTAATGCTGCGGAACTTGGCTGACGTCGCTGATTTTAATCACCATCGAACAACTGATGAAAGTTAGTAGTTGTTTCACCTCTGAGGGACACCACCGCGCATCAGCAAAGTCTTATGGTTTTCCAAACTCTAACTCACCTAGTATGGCGGCAGTATATCAGCTTAACAGTCAAAATTAGAATTTTAAGCGTTACGTTATGACTGGTGTGACTCTACGGATTTGAAACGGACTTCGCGCTGAAGACACTAGGAAGTTAGACGTCTTTGTTCACCGATGCTTGCGAAGTATTGCTCACGTCTGATGAGAACACCGAGTGAACAACACTGAGGTCTACCAACTGGTGTTTGACAAGGAGCTATCTGTGGCTCTCTTCACTGCCTCTTAAACTCGAACCGGTTACGCTGACTAGGACATGTCTTCCGTATGACCGTTGACCGCGTTCCTTTGAGTGTATTATATGCTGTTGTCGCATCATACTGGACGAAACCGTAAACTAGCCAGTTGATGACGTGGCATAAAGAAGTAAAGGAAAATCGACTGAGAGACTTGGTGCGCTTCCGTTTTCGGGGATAGAGGCCTCAGCATATACTATACTAGTGGTTAGAGCAGTCAGTGGCGCTCTTGCATTCGCTTTCTTGTATGCCGCTTTTATTCGCGTTTTTCTAATTCTCTTGCTTCCTGTTCCTCACAATTGGTAAATATTGCCATTCTGGTGATATGGACTTTGGCAACTGGATTCACCGCACTCCGGTGTCCGGGCTTTAGTTGCTTAACAGAGCCGAGTTAGGACTTACACAATCACCCACTATTAAATTTTTCTCTATCACGTCACTTCAATTTTGCTTCCAGTTATTCAATTTCCGTACGCTACCGATAGCGCTTTTGTGTGGGTGAACATATCGATGCGTCGTATATGTGCTGACCTCACCATGAGTCCCCGTTTTTTGGATTCCACTTTTGAAACTAATTTATTATTCACATTGGTATGCTAAATGACCACCTACTGATGAAATCAGTCATTTTGAGCGTACGGTTTTACTGACGTTATATGAACGATCAATCCAACAATTTGCAGCATGTAATCGAGATTTTCAACTGAGCGCCACCCAACGCCTCATTCATAGTTTAAAAAAAGAAAGTAAAAACCAACTGAATTTTTTGGATGCCAACTTAAGAAGAAGACGAATCACTCCAGATAGGATTATATATTAAACCATACTGGATGGGATAATACATGTCGTTCCGGAACTTTGTTCCACTCAGACACAAAACAACACTGGTACGTACTCTGACAAACCGGGTGCGCAAGATCTTTAACGAGGATGCAGTTGAAGGCAGACTGAGGCCAATCAAACGGACGCTTCACGAAAACGTTTATCTAGAACGCTTCGTCGTCGCTCATATGAAGCCAAGGAGCCCGAGATCCACAGTACAAACGGTCTCAAAGAAACTGCCGTTTACCAAACTTCTTTTTAAGAATGACACTGCATGAACTATATACATGATGACTGATACAGACCTGCAGCGCAACAACGTCGTGTTTACGAGCAAATCGCTGACTGTACCCAAATTCAAAGATAAAGTGACTGACCAGATGCACTCCATGGTTTATTATCGGTTAACCTTCTCCTGTAGGGTTAGATGCATTGGACGCACGTCCAGAGGATTAGAAAAGCGAACCTTTGGACACTTTGTTAACAATTCGTTAATTAACCAACGGGACACCTCAATTAAGTACAATAACAAACCGTCTGATTTGCACTGGGCATCCAATTGACAAAGGTAATGCCTTCGAAATCTTCTATAGAATACCGTCGCGACTAGACCACCTGTCGGGGGAACAGTTGCTTGCTCTCGCTGAAGTAATATGCTTCAGGTAGACAAAACCGAATCTTTGCATTCAGAAACTCGTCCGCGCAGTGCAACCACCTTTGCCAGCACCGAACCGAAACAAATCGGATCTCGCTGAACGGCGCCACCTGCCTTCAATCAATTGATCACCTGACGTTTGTTATGATAGCCGTTTGATTGTGCCCAATCTCTGTACGTTTGTATGAATTACATTTTCTGCAACGTGCATTTATGTAGTACGCCTGATGATAAAAAAACACGAAAAAGTTGTTCGGTTTAAGTGTACTGCTTACGTTTCCTATTGGTACAGACCGTCAACTGTCAAATGTCTGGGATCTTTTTGTCGCTTAACTTATTTTAACCTGTTTATGTCGCCCAAGCGTTTTTTAAAGCTACAAGGCTGGCATTTTACGCCTTCAAACCTAAAGTATTTGCAGTTCCCGTTCCCCCCCCCTCCAACTTTTTGTGTGCTTACATTCTGCCACAGTGGCCATTCTGTTCCCCTGTAATTTTCTTTTGATTACTCTAAAGAGACTTTGTAGACCCATAAAGCTTATTTCTAGATGCAGTGGATTGTCTAGAAAAACGCTCGTTAACTTATTTGTCAGCAAGCACCCGTTTTTCACTCAAAGTTCTAAGCTGCCATTTCTACCCGCTACATAGTGATCTTTCAAACGCCTGTTTCGTCTACACGGTCTAAATTTAGTTAAATTTTCTCGTAATACACCTTACCATAATCCCATAGTGCCGCGATTGTCACACTGAATCACTGCTGAGCTGTTTCCCACTAGCTAGCGTGATGATGATGACTCTTGACCAAAAAATGTCCTCAGCGTGGTGCGTAGCTGTTTAGTCGAGTGGCATACACATACCTTTTGCATTACGCACTATTTACACGCTCATTACATGTTTTTTGTTCGCAGTGAGTTCACCCATTCGGGTGCATGCCTATTTTGACTTGGTCTGATTTCTGGTGTGGCCCCCCTATTTCTGACATGTCACACAATCAGTCTTGGAATTATCCAATGTTTGTCTTCGCACTAACGCCAAATTCACTGCCATAACAATCCTTGCATTAGAATCGACACCGGTCGATGGAAACCTACCGGTCACATGCTATAGCGGGCGTATTTGTTATGTATCACGTGACCAAAGTTTAACTCGCCCAGTCCGGTGCGGCTTGATTTCCTTTTTCCTGGTTGATGGTCATACTTAGTTTGCCAGCATTAGTTGAATATTCAACGGTGTTTACTATGCTCACAATTGTCAGACGCCGGTTAGGTTGACCGCGACACGTTTCAGAGAGTCTCTCGCGACCAACTTTCCGGGATGCGTATGAAGAATAATGGAGATCCTATGAAGTTGTTAAGGAAGTTATAATGCTGTTTTTGTTACGTTTATTTTATCAGGTTTCCTTAGCATAACTTTTGAATAATTTTCCTTGATGCTTTACATCATTTTAAAGCGCGTTCTTCGTTCTATCTAGCAGTAGTGATAGCTTAGCTAAAACATCGCGTTTTTACACAGAACATTTAGCGCAACATAGACGGAAGACAAATTCGTACCATATTCTTGTTCCAATCTCAACTGCCCACACTCACGTGTGTTCGCGGACAAGTAACAATAATGTGAAGGTAGGGCGGCGTTGACGTCACAGTCTTGGTTTTACACTGTTATCTTCCATTATCATCACAAGGAATCGTTAACAGCATTTTTTGAAGATTTGCCTGCCACTGTGACTACGAACGGGTACACGTTGCACGCCTACAAAGGAAAACCATGCGTAGTTTGCTATACATCGTGCATTTCCATTATAAATCCATTATATAAAGTCGAAGGATATGTGATTGGGAGCCGCGATTTACCGCGCTGGTTCGTCTGCGCATAGCCAGAGCCTTGCTGTGTTCATTTCTATTGATCCCCCTACTTCACATCAAATCTCTTATGTTCATCTTCCGCTTCAACTACCACTGTCAATTTGTCGTTTCATCTATCACTTGGCCTGCTTAGTGTACCCTTCAGATTGTTCACCATTTGTTCTGAGTGGTTCTTTTTATGTGGCTGTTCTCTATTTAGGTGTTCCGCATCAATTCGTCCAACAGTTCGATCCGTGTCAACCGCTTGTGGTTGGAGTCCTCCCCAGCACAGAGGAGTCAAATGGCCACATTCAAGTACGATTCCGCGTGCACCGATGGCTCAAGCGTGCACTGCGTTCCAACGATCCACTGACTGTGTCCATCGGTTGGAGAAGGTACCAAACAGTCGGGATCTTTTCCAAGGAGGAACACAATTTGCGCAACCGGTACCTCAAGTACTGTCTTCCCCATGAACACTGTCTTGTTACCATTTATGGCCCTTTGGTTCCTGCCAAGACGGGAGTCGTTTTCTTCGTCAACTCCGCCTGGCGTCCCCAGGCGGATTCGAGCGACCTCCCCAGCTTCCGTGTCGCGGGCACCGGTGTCGTGACCACCACGGACCAATCGTTTTCAATCATGAAAAAACTAAAATTGGTCGGCGAACCGTTCAAAATTTTCGCCAAGACATCTTTTATTCGTGGCATGTTCAACAGCTCGCTCGAGGTGAGCAAAATGATTGGGTCCAGGATTCAAACAGTATCTAACATACGAGGTGAGGGGTTTCTTTCTCTCCGTACTTTTCTTTTTTCCCCCCTGCTAACTGCTTAGGCATAGTATGTTTCTCATGTTCAACACTGATTCTATCAAGGCTTATCTGGCCAAACTCACATCCTGTCGTGATAGCTATCATTGCTAATCGACGCTTCGCCTGCGGGGGATGAGATTACTGCAGCTCAGACTAATTCTCTCTCTCTCACGCTTCGGCGTGTACTTTGCACCTACAAAGTCCAAATTGCTGTTGCACGACTGAGCAGACACACCTCCGGTTTTATCTATTTCCGAACAGCCACTGGAAGTAGTGGATCGATTCACTTACCTTGGTAGCTGTGTCACCTCTGGTGATCACATCACTGAGGAAGTTGCTTCGCGTACTAGCAAGGCCCGTGTGCCTTTCCAGAGACTCGGTCACCCATGGAGATAGTGGGATATCAGCTTGTCAGTGAAAGTTAAGGTGTAAAACGCTGCGGTAAGGCCTGTGTTACTGTATGGATCAGAGACGTAGCCAGTTCGCAGTGAAAACATTATGTGATTGACCGTGTTTGGCCACTGGTAATGCCAAGTATTGCTCATGTATTGTGGGAACACCGGGTTAACCAGTTGGTTTTTGGCAAGAAGTCTTCTGGTGCCTCTCTCGAGTGTTTGATGAATCCTAGTCGCTTGCGTTGGTTAGGTCATGTCCTCCGTATGCCTGTTGATCTGCTTACTCGGCATACATTATTCGTGGTGGCCGCCCCAATTTGGGCGAAATCGCGAGATAGCCAATCCATGACATGACATAGGAGCTTGGAGAAGTTGCCTGAGAGGCTTGGTCAAAGTGGTTCGTGTGGTCTTCCTGTATGGACGGTCCACACCAATGGCTGGAGACCGTGTCAGGCATGGCGCACTCACGATGTCAGTGACGTTCACTGCATTCGGCTTCTTTAATCTGCTTGTTAATTTTCGTTCCTTTCCGCTTATTCGAACACATTTCCTTCTTGGTTTCGTTTTCTCTACATTCTATTTTCACCCAATCCAAAAACTTGTGGTTCAGTCAGAGCAACAAGCAACAGATGTTTTGGATTGATGGCGGAGAAATCGGAAACGTCTTCCTTCTGAACTTCGGCTAAAGGTCGCAGAGGCTTTGCACAGCTAATATTAAAGCACCTGAAGCAGCAAACATACTGACGAATGTACAAAAGCGTAACTTGACTGCTGTTTAATTGACTCTGACATAGGTCTAAACGAAGGTTGGAACGCACCTTGGCCGAACCAAGTTGCAAACGTAGTATTATTATCCCATCAAAAAACGAGTAACTGCTGCCTCCCATCGGTCGGCATTCTCCCACACTTGACCCCTTCACCCCTCTGTGGGCTCCTAAAGACCGAGAAACTGGCTTGCTTGTATACGAATGCTCAGGGACTTTTTAATAAACTGGCCGAACTGAAAGATCGCCAAGCTTCCGGGTCGTATGATGTCATTGGTATCACCGTGACGTGGTTGCACACGGGAATGACGGTCGCTGATACGGAACGAGAGGCTCACAAATGGAGGTGGGATAATCCTGTATTACCGAAGCGACTTACAGTGCGAAGCCGTGGAGGATTCAGACTCGCAGTTCTCCGACTCTCTTTTGTGCTGCTTGCAGTTAATAGGGACACTTGCCTTATTGTCATGGTGTACTGCCCCCTAATTCCACACCCGAAACCGAGCTCCCCAACTCTACACCCGAAACCGACCGCCACCTAGCGGCTGCTTTAAGATGCAGTTTACAACGAAGGTACACTCACATACTTATCATGGGTGATTTCAACGCACATTATGTAGCAACTCCTGCCACGATCAGAGAACAATTCGTAGCCGATCTACAAGATCTAGTAACCACTGTTTTTCTGTATAATCACATCATTATACCCACTCGGTTCAGAACAGGTAACAGGCCGTCTGTGCTTGATCTTGTGCTTACCAACGAGGAGCATATGATCGATGTGTTGGTTTTAGACTGCCCGTTGGGTGGCAGTGATCAGTTTCAACTTCGTCTGCTATGCGGCATATCGGAATGAGAACGATGAGACTGTGCATACCATCACAAGCTACGACCGATTAGTCCAGCTCGTCAGCGCTACAACTTGGTCGTTCTTTGCCGAACAACCCCCGGAAGTCGCCTGGCTCGAGTTCGTCAACAAATTCCGTCAGCTGATTGCAGAGGCTTCAGAACTAAGGGTTTGCAATAAGTGTACATCAGTTTCTTTCGTTAAGAGCAGAACTCGAAAATGGATGACAGTACGCAACGCAGCGTGGCGAGTGTACAGAGAAGCTCCAGCACCAGAAACTTGGGACAACTACGTTACTCAACGTAACCACTGCACTCAACTGCTAAGAGAAGACAAAGCCGCCTATCAGCAGCACATCGCAAAAACCTTCAATGCTAACTACAAAGTGCTGTACAAACACCTCAATAGCCTACGAAAGGTGAGGCAAGAATTTCCTCCACTCAGGACGGCTGATGGCCCAACAAGAACGGCTGTGGAAGCAGCAAACGCGCTGCTGATGCATATGCCCCCACGTTTCAGAGGGTCTTGCCACCAAGCGACCTTCCAACCTTTGTCGTCTCCACGCCAGGACTAACCCACATCACTTTTACCGCAGAGGCTGTATTGCAAAAGCTGAATTCTACGCAAACACAACTAGCCGGCTGTAGACAAAATTCGTCTAAAGGCATTGGAAGCAGCGGCATGCCAACTGGTACGACCTTTAGCTCAGTTTTTCCAGCGCTGCTTAGGCCAGAATCAAGTTCTCGCTATGTGTAAGCTTGGAATAATAACCCCGATTCACAAAGGTGGAAGCAGAACTGATCCCTCTAATAACCACCCACTATCCCTTCTTCTTATACTCTCCAGGATTATGGAATCCATAGTTGCCGATGCACTGGTGTACTATCTGGAAAACTGTAACATCATCTCGCCTGAGCAGCACGGTTTCCGTCGACAGCGGTCATGTACAACGAATTTACTAATCGCACGCAGTAGTTGGACCGAGTCAGCTGACGCTGGAGAAGGTGTTGATGTGATCTACCTGGATTTTTCCAAGGCTTTCGATCGTCTAGACCATCGGATACCACTCTCCAAGCTCCAGCATTACGGGATCGGCGACCCTCTTTTAAGCTGGATTGCCAGCTTTCTTCTTCATCGGCAGTTAGTGGTCAGAGTTCGGAGCTCTTTATCGGACTCCATACAAGCCGAGTGTGGTGTGCCGCAAGGCTCAGTTCTAGGTCCGTGTTTGTTTTTGGTGTTTATTAATGACCTTGCACAGGGAATCGCTCCAAACTTCCTAATGTTTGCCGACGATATCAAGATCTGGCGCAGGATCCAGACGAACGCCGACCAGCATCTGCTTCAGAGTAACCTAGATACGGTGTATCAGTGGTCGATCCAAAACTTATTGCATTTCAACGTCAGTAAATGTAAGGTGCTTTCCATCCGACATCAGAGCAACTACTCATACCAGCTCGGAATGAATATACTGCAACAATTAACTCTCGAACGTGACTTGGATGTCCTGGCTCAAGGTGATTTGGTTGCTCCAGGCAATCCGAAAAGGTCTTGAAGATTGGGAACAACACGTCGGGCTGTTATGACGAACGTTTGGACAACTAGACAGCTCCATATTTCGACAAATGCTCAGTGCGTATGTTCGCCCCCATGTCGGATATGCAATTCATGCCTGATATCCATGGCTGGAACACGACCTTAATGCACTGGAGCAGCCACAACGTCGGGCATCTAAGAACGTAATTGGAATGCGCAATCTTTCATACCAGGAGAGGCTGCAACGATTGGGGGTATTCAGTAGAAGCTATCGCAGATTACGAGGCGACCTGACTATGGTGTACTTGATTCTGCGAGATCCACATCATGTGTGCCGCTATTTATTGCGACTCAGCACCAGGACGACTCTGAGAAGTCACTCTTTGCAATTCACTGTACAGTATAGCCGCCTGGAGTGCCTCAGAAATATTTTCCCGTTTGTGTCTGTTACCCGTAGAAGGCTGTCCCAAAATCGGTCGTCTCTGCACCAACACTAACAGTATTTAAAAAACGTTTGAATGATGCACTCATCCACTTACGCTTTGTCACTTGGCACTACGTCCTTCCAACACCTGGCGTGTATCATGAAATTATTTGATATTAACTGCGGGTGCTATGAATCTAAGCGGATTGCAGAACTACGCTGGAGCGAACGATAAGCCCTTATTTTCATATTTAAAGTACTGACTGTTTTACTATTATTATTATTATTATTATTATCCTTATTGTTATGTCGATCTACCCACCAACTATCCAACGGGACTTGTAAAGCAACGCTTCTTAAGCCGTATAAATTCATTGTTCATTGTTGTTGTTATTCTTACGGAGTGACTCGTGGCAACTGGATTCACCACAACTCGGTCGTAGGATCATAGTTGATCAACCAAACTGAACTGAACTCTCCACTGCTTCCCAGCTATTCTTCTGCTCCAGCTTTTGTTTTGTCTTCCGTATTTTTGTCCATCCGTACCTAGCCCCTTTGACGCATTCTATTTTCAGTTTCATGATCGGGTCTCCAGTCACATTAGGACGCTGCTTGTGCTTGACGGATCTCTTTCATTCCTCTGACCTGAACTCACTTCAAACCCTCGATCTTCGTTTAGACCGGTATATTTCACTGCTCATTCTGACAAGGCAGTTTTTATTTGTTTATGTTTTCCTTCCCATTTCCATTACCCATGTGAGTCTACTGGCGTGACTGTTGCATCTAGTCTCATCACACTTTGACATTTTCGTCATTATTCAGCTAACCCATCATTGTTGCTCCCAATCAGCAGGCTTAGGCTAGTCTGGAAAAGCACCAGACGTCGGCGTTTCGACCTTCTGGGTCTCGTCAGTGGTGCGCCTCCCAGCGGACCCCTGCCGGGTTCCGCCCCCATGACTTCAGGATGCCAGCAGTTAGTGCCACTTCGCCATGGGTGACAGCCG